ACATCAAAATGGTACTTGAATGTTATTTAAAACAAAATTTTGTAACCTTCTAGAGCAGCAGTCACCAGCCGGTGGGGTCCGTGGACCCTGGAGGTCCGGAGGTTGGCGACTGCTGCTCTCGAGGAGCACGAGGCAGGTGTAGAATGAGCAAGTGGATAAGGAAAGCTCGCTGTTTCCAGTTTGTAGGAACCTGAGCGCAGTAGGAGGAGGTAGCCAATAGGACAGACATCAGTGATGCGTGCTTTCTCTGGGAGTGACGTCAGTGACACGTGCTTTCCCTGGGAGTGACGTCAGTGATGCGTGATTTCTCTGGGAGTGACGTCAGTGATGCGTGCTTTCCCTGGGAGTGACGTCAGTGACGCCTGCGTTCCCTGGGAGTCTGTCTGAAATTCCTCACCTGCGGTGCTTACAGAACACACGTCCTCTCCTGAACGCGCTCTATAAAACGCACATCACAATTTTAAATGTGATTTTAAACGATCCATTCACTGTTATGTTGCTTATGTGACCCGTTACTCTAACGTTTGCTGTTGGTATTTTCTGTTGTGGCTGTGATTGGCAGTTGCTATTTCTCAGAATGCTTTTAATTTCTGCTAGCCATCTGAAATACCAATTTTCCTGCTATGACATGTACTCAAACAAAACAAAACAAGATGAAAAAAACCCTTCTAATAATTTCCTTTTGGCTATCAGACTTAAACAAGAGTCATTTTTCAAACAGAAGAATAAGGACAGCAGATGTAATATCAAAGACGGGCTAAATAAACACCAAAAACAGAAACTGGGGCAGATACAGCTCCAGAAAAATGAATATTAACAGGTAAAAAGAAGTTGCAGCTCAGATACACATAAGAAACACAGCCCTTAGGGTTAGCCCTGTCCCAACACTCTGCTTTGTTTTACATCCAGCAGAAAAGCTGGTGCGAAGTAGGTGGAATGACAGAGCACACAGGCAGAGAGCAACGTACCTGAAGACCGATGGGACCAGGGGGTCCCGGGAAGCCTCTTGCTCCCTCATCCCCTTTCTGTCCAAACATCCCCTGCTGACCTCTGGGCCCTGGCTCCCCGTCACCTCCCTGGCGGAAAACAAGGAAATGATCACAAACTGGGAAGATGGTGACTGGGATACACGTCATCATAAAGTGTAAGTGCTTCTGGTGGAATCCAAGCTGGTGTAGGCAGGAGTAAACGAGTAGCAAGTGGATTAAGCTTCCATTCTCTGCTGCAAATATCCCAGTGTTAGTTTTGTTCATATTCTTTGTTTCTGAGGTATGGCTGATTTTAATTTTCTTGTGTATGCCAAGTGAAGTAAAAGCTTTGTCATAAGGAAAAATAACGCTCAGCATTGACTACAATGTACTTCCCAACTGGTTAGGGACTCTTGTGGGATGAAGTCACAAGGGCTTTTGTTTACAGAGATCCGCTTGGTAGCTCTGTTAGATCTTTTACATTTCAGTCCATATTAAGCAGACGAACAATATCACATAGTCTGGCTATGCAACAGTTCATGAATTTAACTGGGGACTGTAAGGATTTAGGTGGGCTGGGCAAGGAGGGATACTTACAGCAATTCCAGGGGCGCCGACGGGACCCTGAAGACCTGGGGGGCCGGGAGGACCCTAGGGGGAGAGAAGAATCAGGAATTCTGCCACTGAGGCCAGAGAGTCTCAGGAGCAGAGGGTGGGCCGTTCTCTTCACTTGGCGATAAAAAGAAGTCTTTTCAGTGTAGCGCAGTCAACCACTATGGACGTTCGTCCCTGAGACTCACAGGTGTGTGGCTGCATCCATTTCACATCAGCAGGTGGGAAAGCCACTCGGGTCTGTGATGTTGCAGGTACTTAGACATGGGTTTCTGTGCTAACATAGATAGCGGTGAAGTTTCACATCTGAAAATTTTCAGAACACCCAGTCTCTTGAATGAGGGATGTATGAGTCAGAAGGAGCACATGAGAAGTTCACCTGTGTGCTGTCACTCTAAGTGCGTGCTGGGAGGTGAGGCCCTCTGCATGGGGAAGGTAGTGGTGTGGGGAAGTTAGACTGGTCCCCAGTGTAAACACGTGGAACTGAGTGTTACTTAGTAAGTATACCAGGACTCCTTCTTGTGAACAATAGATTTGAGTAGGCTTCTTCGTCTTACAGGAATACATGTTTCTTGCTAACTTACGTCTTATATGTCAGTACTGAAAAGGCCTTATAAATCATCCAGGCACAAAAGAGAGTCATTGGATTAGATTGTTCCTTAGCGTAGCCGCTCCGAGTTGGCTTAAAGCGAAGTTCCAGGGAACCCGAAACCCTTTCAGGTGTGAACGAGGTCAACATTCTTTTCATAACAACTAAGACTTTACTTGTGTTTAAGCCACATGAAAATCTGAACTGATGATGGCAGGTAAAATTGCCGGTTGGGATTATTACATGTATCTGAATATACACTGAGTCTGATGTTGGCTGTGGGCTTGTCATCTATGGCCTTTATTAAGTTGAGGTATGTTCCCTCTATTCCCACTTTGCTGAGACTTTTTATCATAAATGGGTGCTGGATTTTATCAAATGTTGTGTGTAGTGATGTGATCATGTGGTTTTTATCCTTCATTTTGTTTATGTGGTGTATCACGCTTATTGTTTTACGGATATTGCACCAGCCTTGCATCCCCAGAATAAATCCCACTTGATCGTGGTGTATGATCTTTTTAATGTGTTGCTGGATTTGGTTTGCTAACATTTTGTTGAGGGTTTAAGCATCTGTGTTCATCAGGGATACTGGCCTGTAATTTTCTTTCTTTGTCGTGTCTTTATCTGGCTTTGGAATTAGAATAATGCCGGCCTTGTATAGGGAGCTTGGAAGTCTTCCCTCCTCTTGAATTTTTTGTAATACTTTGAGAAGGATAGTGGAAAGGGGTTTTATTAGAATCGACTGAATTCAAAGTAATATTGGATATAAACTGTAATTGAAAAAAAATTCAATTTAAAAAACAGAATTGATTGAATCCCAAATGTTATGGTGTTGATGTGATAATCTTCTGATACGTAAATAAGCAGTACTAATTCTCTACCCACGGTTATCAGCAGGAGTTAAGTGAATGATGCCCCCTCACTACAAAGCAGGAAACTCACATTTTCTCCTTTGTCGCCCTTGCTGCCTTTCTGTCCGGGCTCACCGATTTCACCCTGTATTGGAAAATTCGAGGTAAAGTTTATCTGTAGTATGCCATACCAGTGCACCATCATCACTATCATTTCCCTATTACATCTGATGTTGACATAATTGCAGGCTAGCCCTTAATGTCCCTGTTTCAATTGTAAAAGGCAGGTTCCCTCCGCTTCTCACTGTCTGGTATTGACTAAAACACAGACTGAAGTCAACTCAACCTGGAGGAATATTGCAACAGGATTTTTACTTTATAAAATCCATTTTGTCTGAAAAATTACCATGATTGTCTGATACACAGAAGTACATTGATTAAAAATGTATAATTACATGGCAATGAAAAAGTATTTTTTCTCCTAGTTTCCAAAATGCTAAAATGTTGCACATTATCATAGCATTTTCACCAGTGTTGCTATAGTGCCTCACAATAACATTAGACAATATATAACTTCAGACACAACATCACAGCTATACGTTCAGAATGAAGAGCTCAGAATCTTTTACGTTAGTAAAAGAGAGAGAGGTGCAGGATTATCAAACATGTTTGCAGCTCATTCCTAAGTCTTTACTCTGCAATACACAAGACGCAAGGGCTGGGTGTACACAAGTAATTGATGACACTGATTTCACATTTATTCCAAAAGCCTATGCATTCACACACAAATGAGCAATTTGGGCACCTGCTACT